CTTTTAAAACTTATTAATGCTAGACAATTGCCTTTGCTCCCTTTCCGACAGGTTGCCAAATGTTGCAGGCTTTGTATGACTTCAAAGCAACTTTGGCAAAAACTCTGAGTTTTCATGAGAAGGAATTATTTATTCTGTATCCTACAAATAAGAAGCAAAGACAGTGGTGGCAAGTTGTCAATAGAAAGGGGCAAGTGGGCTTCATACCATCCAATTACATCAGTAAAATTCAGGTATCTTCTATCTTCCAATTTACCTATCTTCCAATTCTTTGTAGACCAGTTTTTAGGTATTAAATTTTTTAACTTGTATTATGAATTTAGGTTCCTCCTTCGCAAATTCTGGAATTTGTGTCTGCCTGTGAGAAAATTCTAGCCGAGGAACGAAAATCATCAGGTGACAGTGCCTCACATGACCGAATAGAACTTGCTAAACATTTGTCAAGCATAAAGAAGCAGGCTGAGGAAACACAACAAACTTCAACTTCCTATAAACATGGACCTCCTCCGCCAGCTGACTTCTCTCCTGACAGAGGAAACTCTCCAGCAACAACCCCACATTCTGTTCCTTGTGGTGCTGTTCCAGCAATTGGAGGACCTGCAGCAATGCTAAAATTTGGCCAGAGCAAATATTCAGTCAGTGCAGGGAATAAAGTAAGTAGTAATATAATCTTCACAGTTTTATTAAATACACTTATACTGGTAATAGTAACATAAAGTGCCTAATTTTTGTATTTTACTGTAGCAGACAAAAGTACCTAGTCCTGTTGTCCCCAGAAGGCACTCATCATTGGATGAATGCGGAAGACGCAGCCAACAATCAAACAATGCCTTTCATGAAAATGCAGCCAATGGGGTTGCCAGCAGTGCTGACAGCCTTTCCACAAGTGTTTCTCAATCTGACAGCATTCTGGAAACTTGCTGGCCATCAGTAGATGGTGTTCAGGCCTACCAAATTTTACAGGAGGTATAATTTACTAATTAATTATTTACTTTAGCCAAAACTTTAAGTTTTGATTTTTACAGAAAAGCTACTTTAGTTTTTAAAATTGTTTCAACTTTGTTCGGTAGTAGAGTGTTAGCCTCAGTTACTATTGTTTATACTCATAAATATTTTTCAGGTTCGGAAACATACTTCTCTGAGCCATGATCACAGCCGCATTGCAGTGAGCGTAGTTCTATCAGAACTTCAAAGAATTCTTGGCTCTGCCACTTGTCCTCCAGTTGATAACCTTCTTAACTTGGTCTCACGAACTGTGCCAACTCCACATGCAGTTCTTGAGTCTAGTCTTGATTCACGCAGACTGCATCTAGCATTGTCTGAGCTAACTAAATGCAAAGATGACCAGCAGCAAAGGAGTTGGGCATTATACGAAGATCAGTCCATCATCAGTGAATATCTGGAGGAAATAGCTTCCATTTTGGTATGGTACATTTTCCTAACAGCTCTCCATCATTATTTGTTTTACTCTAATTTTGGGGATTTTTCTTAATTCTGTTACTCTTTTGTTTTGAAAACTGACAGACCAATGCTGATCCAAACATTTGCCGCCATGTTTTGTCCATTGATCAATATCAATATGTGGTAAACATTGCTCTGTATTATCAAATGGAAACCAGGTGGGAGCTAAGATCACGAGTTCTGAAGGTGCTGCAAGTTATGTGTGTGCTTGATGGTCATATTGTATCAATTTTGTTGGCTTCTGTTCTTCCAATGGAGCTAGCGAGGTAAATTGTGATCCATACTGTGTTCTTAAATTTAAAACTCTTAATTCATAGTTCTTTTATGTTAAACAAAATTTAGAAATCAAATCTAATCTGATCTCATATTTTTTGCAGAGATATGCGCAGCAGTGCTTGTAATAATGCACGTCTTGTTCAATCTGCTTCTTTATTGACGACAATCTATAGCATGGGTGAGGCAATGCCTGTTCCCCATCTTGGTATGTATTGTCCCTTCTTTTGTTAATCATTAAATGCAACTTTAAAATAAATCACAATTTATAATGAGGGCGTGCCTTCACACTTTGTTCTCTTTCCAGAACATGTTGGACGTGACTTCCTATCATTTTTATTTGCTATTCTGGAGGGTGAAAATGTCAAAGAAATGGAACAAAGTATACGTGGGGAGTCAGCAGCAGACTTGCTTTTGGCCAATCGGAGATACAGTATGGAGCAAGTTAGTGAGGCATTCTTCAAGCTTATTCTTGCATACAACCTACAGTGGCGCCCTGGCACAAATCATGAAAATCTTCCAAATGAGACTATAGAGGCTTTATCTCAAAGGTCAACTGCAAAACTGTTCTTGGAAAAGCTACTGTTACTTGTAAACCGTGAAGGTAATAAAACCTTAATTTGCTTGCAGGTGCAATATATTTGATCTTTGTTCAATTCTAAACAACAAGAGGGAACTGAAACCACCTTATTTTGCAACTATTTCACATTTAATTATTTATTTTTTGTTACAGATGATCCTGTGCGTACACTTGACCACTTACCAGTTCCTCCCCATGCTGTTTTGAAGATGATTATTGATGTCTTACTTAAGCCTGAAACTGCAGCACTTCTTTATACCAATGATACTCGCGTACTTCTTGATATTTCTCTCAGGCGACTTGCTGATCTTCCACCTGGTGACCAGGTATGTTCTATTTCCTTTTTCTAAATATTTTCTTAATTTTGCTTTTTAATTCATATTGTTTATCTCATTTACCTCCCTTTTCTTGAAGAGACGACGAGTTTATCTTGAGATGTGTCGCTTAGTTCTCCGTAATACACCATATTCTGAACATGAGCACCGCCGAGAAGATTTGCTAAAGTGCTTCACGCGTATCTTTTGCGAAGAAACTGAAGCTAGCCACCCAGATCAGATGTTGGTAAGAGAAATTTCAAATGAGTTTCCTAACTACTTTAAACGCTGAACTACATTTCCAAACGAGAAATGGCACAAGTCTAATAATGGAGTGGAATTCTTTAATCCTTCAATCAAATTATACTCATGTTCTTTCATGAACTGTGTTTTCCTAGTCAGTGTTGTTTGAGGAATTATTTATCTGCCACCCATTAAATTTTATCAAAATTCATAGTGGCTCGTAACACAGTGCAATTTGACATGGATTGGAGATCTATGACTGAGCTACTGCCATGTGCAAGACCACGAATATTGATTGGAATTGTTCGGTATTGTTTATAACTCTGTTCTACTAACCTTTTGCTAGTGTGTGATTTCTCAGAGTGCGCAAAAATTGAATTTGTGAATTATTTGGAATCATCTTGTTTTGAGAGGATTGTCCATCAAAAGGTAGTACATACCGTGCAATAATGTTGCTATGCTGTTGATAATTTGAAAGGTATGCAGTGTTGTAGACATAGTTAGTTGACGTGCTTTGGCTAACCACTTTAGTCCTCTGTGGTTTAGGAAACTATAGAAACATATGTCAGATCTCAAATTGATAAGATGTATAAGAGCATTTACTCATATAGTAATAATGATTGGGAACAACATTCCTGTCAAATCACTTTGCTGATTTAGAGTACCTTTGTGCCAATGAATCTTATTTATTAGTAATGCAATTTTAGCCGGTTAGAAAGTTAAAGAAGAATCCTTGCAAGGAGGGTTCAGGTGTGAGACTGGGGCCCCTAGCAGAGAGACTGTGTCTCAAACAGTTTAGTCAGCTATTTGATTTTACCTACCAACTTCACCTGAATTGATATGTAGGTAAATGCCCTGTTCTACATTTTCAGTTTAGGTTTCAAGTATACATAAGTACACTTGTTCTCCACA